GGACATGAGTGTCCAAGGAAGTTTCGCAATGGCAACTAATGCCAAGCACCACAAGATGGTGAAAAGAATGATCAAGAAAGAAACACAGTGAAAAAAGTAGAAGCTAGCAAGGTTGTACAGCTTGGAAGCTGACTGATGCTAATCTGGATTAGTGGTTACTGGTACAGTGACTTTAGGAAAGTTTGAGTGTGTGTTGTAGCGCCAGAATCGAAAGGATGTCATGAGGCTACACCAAGGCGAGGTGTTAACCTTAGTAACTATGTGTGGATACCCCAAGCCCAACACGCTGTGTAGCATGTTTGGAAATGATTTCATGTGTGCAGTGAACAGCATGTGCGTACAGAGTTTGACTTGCTGAGAGCGTGACAAAACATGTCAACACAAATGTGTTGGCTCAAGCCTGCAACAAGTGCAGAAAAACAAACGAAAGCGCAGCGAGGCACACGCGTCACCTGGTGCGGCTGGATTTTCCATTTAGACCTGGAGTCCATTCGCTCGGTGAGTGGCAAGCTCGACAAGCTCCGCGACCAACTTTGCAAACTTGCTAATTCCAAGAAGACCTTGAGTGCCTGGGTCTGCTCATGTGGGCTACAAGCACCTGCCAGCATCTCAGACCATGTCTGGCAACCTTTATACGAAGACCTCCATAGTGGCAGGGGCGCCCTGCGCTCCATCAAGCCCAGAGATTCTTCATCACACAACCGCTGCCAGACATGTGGCTCACTGCTGGCACACGCCTCCTGGAAGTGGGCTCGGTGGCAGTGAAAAGCAAGCAAGACGTGCCCAGAGTCCCACCTTCGCACAAGCCTCAGTGGGTCCGACTCGCCAACCCATCTCGCTATGAAATACACCTATGCCACGAAAGCCGCAGCGCCATCAGATGGCTTGCCCCTGCTTCAATCACGATCAAATGCACACCGTGCGACAATCGCCACTGTTGCACTGCGTGGCAGCCGCGGACGCCATGGCAGAAGGCGACACCGTCGGCGTAGGCGGGTGGATCAGCACGTCCACGCAATTTCTTTGGTTCTCAGAAACGTGGAGCGTGACAGAGGTCAGGCACTTTTGGCCCCAGCTCACGAAAACCCCGCAAGCCTACGTTGCCTCGCGTTCGCAATGGTCGCCTTGCGCAGACTTCATGCCAAGCACTTCAAATTTGTGCTACCCGCAGCCTCCGACAACACTTCAGCCGAAACAGGCATCAACAAGCTTTTCACCACAACCCAGCCTTTGTGCCACTTCTTCAAGCTTGTGGCATCCTGGTCAGCGCGCAACCATGTACAGCTCGCCATATCCCATGTGGCAGGCGAAAAGAACACATGGGCAGACAAACTCACCCAACAAGCTGACCCACTTCCGGAGTCGCCTGCATGGCCGCGGACGCATCTCACTGCAAGCTCTTTCGAGCCCGCAAGGCCTTGCCACCCAGCGCCTGCCGCACGCTGGTTGGACGGACGAGCTCCTGCAAACACAGCATCCCGCATGAAGAAAAGTTGTGCCGCTTTTCGTAACCTTGGCTTGTTCGTTCTTGTGCGCGCTGCCAGTTTGACCTTGTTTGCTGCCAGGTACGCACGCCTCTGACGCGGCATGGGTAGACAGACAGCAGTCACAGAGGTGCACGGACCTGAAGTGAGGGTTTCAAGGCTTTCCCTTTTGCAACGCTTTGCGTTCCGTGCACCTCGTGACAAGAGAGAGGGAGAGAAAGAAGTACTGTCCGCGCTGTTGCTTCCTTTGGGTCCAAGCGTAGGAAATATCAACTTGAACGTGGCATGTGTGTTTTTTTGGTCACGCGTGTTTTAGTTCACTACTTTGCCTAGCTTGCGCTGCATTCATTTCCGTAGCTTGGCCCAAAGTTTCTTCTTGAAACACCAACCCACCACTCCCTGTTAGCTCGCATTGCTAACTCAGCACGCACTGCTAGCATTTCATGCATGCACAGCACGCATTGCTTAGTCAAGTTTCACACACAATTGCTTTTCACGTTTCACACGCTTTCCCTTTTGCAAAGGGGGGTTTCAAGGTTTTCCCTTCTGCAACGCCTTGCGTTCCGTGCACCTCGTGACAAAAGAGAGAAAGAAGTACTGTCCGCGCTGTTGCTTCCTTTGGGTCCAAGCGAAGGAAATGTAAACTTGAACTCATTGAGGATGCAAGTGGAGTGTTGGCTTGGTATGCCCGAGTGTCAGCTTGGAGCGTAGCTTGTTGTGGCAGCTCCCAGTCTTGAGGAATGGGGGAGGTGAAGACAGGGCACTGCCCGCGTGAACACCCCCGTTGGAAAAGAGTGGTCCGCTGAATCATCAAGGTTTGATTGAATAATATTTGAGGTGAAAATTTGCCAGCTTTTGGATGGAATATGTTTGAGTGATTTGGTGGAATAAGAGCATTTGTTTGCTTTGTTAGCAACTTCTTATTTGCCTCAAATCAAGCTTGAATTGTTTTGTGGAGCAAGCGCCTCAAACTTCATTTGTTCATATGACTTTCACATGAGGAATTCGCTTGTGGCATTAATTTTCAAGCTCGAGGCTTAGCAAATTTTGCAACCCACCCACCCACAACCCAGCGGCAATCAATGCAGTGCAATCAATGCAGTGCACCGACTACGTCCTCATGAAAATGAAGTCAAACAAAGCTAACTGAATCGGCACGGCCTGTCTCACTGGCCAAGCCCGCCGTACGGTGAAGACAGAGCACTGCCCACGTGAACACCCCCCAGACAGGGCACTGCCCGCGTGAACACCCTGTTGGAAAAGAGTGGTCCGCTGAATTATCAAGATTTGATTGAATAATATTTGAGATATGTTTGAGTGATTTGGTGAAATAAAAAGATACATTGATGGATAGATTTAATATTGAAAATGGATGATGGATCAAAACCCAGCAAATGCTCCAAGATTGTGCCGTCCGACCGAATTGCATGATGTGACCATGCCCGCGGGCGTATATGCTGGAGTGACCTGGTGGAGACCTCCTGTGCTTCATCCCCTGATGTTCCGGCATGCGCACGGGCACAGTCATGGCGCGCTCTCACTTGTGAGAAAATGTCGAGATGTCACGCATTGAATCTCTGGTTGAAGCGTGCCTGCCCTGAAGAACCCCATGCAGTTTGGGATGGCAGACTGGCAGATGTTTGCCTCCTTTCCAGCTTGTGCCAGCTACATGAGCATCCCGTCAGTACCGACGATGTTGACGTGTTTGCCCGTACGGAACGACGAATTATTTACGGTGCGAAGGTGCGCCTGCAAAAGTGTGGCCCCGAATGATTCCGCAAAGCGAAAACTTGACAACCACAAAACGTGTCAGTGACCCTTTCTCCACGCTTGAAGGTCCCCAAGTTTATTGGTTAGTTGGGTAACCACCTCAGCGGTATGTAACCCACAGCTCCGTATCTAATCAAACTTTGAATCAAGTATGACGTCTGCGGCTGAACATGTTTCACAATACCTGCCATGCTGTGAGCAAATAAAAGATCAAACAAAAAAGTTCGTGTTCTTGCGGAAATCAAGCGATTGTAAAATGGCAATATCTGACAATATGCTCAAGTGAACCGAACTATGACAATCCGTGCGAGCCCAGCGTGGGATGCATGCGCAGTAGGTGCGCGCAGTCGTTCGTAAGGAACAACATGAAATAATGCTTGAACTGTCGGAGAATTCGCAAGTGTTTTTTCCATGAGGTGTATTTTTGACTACGAAAGGAAGCTTATCACGGGATTTCGCAGTCTTTGATGCGCATTTGCGTGCAAGGAAAGCACGTCATTGCGGTAGTCACGCAACCCGACAAAGGTTGAAGGAGGGCAGTGTTGGGGACAAAGTGCAAAGCTGGCAGAGGGGGTGCTCCTTGTTCTGGGCAAGTTTTAACACTGCAGTCACCGGAGGTCTTGCGGGAGGCTTCTGCAATTTTGGTTTTATCAAGTTGTCTGCATGCTGGGGATTCTGTATTGCTTGGCTCCAGACGGGCGATTCACGTTGCCCAAATGTCGAAATGAATCTTGGCAGACAGGAGTTCTAACAGCTTCATTCTTGTGTGACAACGTTGGATGTCAATTGACCGAGGAAGTGCTTGGCACATGTTCTGGTGCTGAGCTGCATAACAGAGTATGGGCTTGCAATAAAGGCGCGTGTCGGAGTTATCTGTGTAAACTGCACACGAGGCACTGACACAAAAGTATATGCAAAGCGTGTTCGGCGGAAACACATTTTGCAAGGCTCGAGGGGTCCATCCGAACTTGACCCCGCTGTTCAACATCAAGGCCTATGGTCTTGGCTGTTTGCCCAAATTCATCTGCATTGTGTTCTTGACAACTGTGTGGATGAGTCAGGCATCTTTCGATCGCAAAGACGTCGATAAATTCAAGGCCGCCTTCATGGAAACCAGCTGGTGCTCCACATGGCACAAAGTTCCCCCAAAAGTGCACCTCCCTTCCTGGTTTCAGACTGTCATCAAACATTTGAAAGCCAAGTGTTTCCACTAAACTACACGAGCTCAAGGACAAAAACGGGGGTGAATGAATGTGGTTTTTGGAAGAATGAGGTTGCACACTGTCATGCATAAGCGTGGTTCCTCCATGGGGATCTGAACTTGCGGTGAATTTGCAGGGCCTCTCTGCCACGCTGGACAATGAAACGAATCAGATCGTTCTTTTGAACTGCGTGGAGGACTTCTGAAGTGAAGGGGCAACAGCAGGGTTGGGAGTGTATTGTTTGGTGCAGGAACATGCGGTGTCTTGGGCTCGACTTGCCGATCGTCTGAGTGAAACTTGGCGGCCAAAAACTCACCAAACTGATTATCCTTGGCACGTGTTCAATTTCCCGAGCCCGGGACTCCCTTCTGAGGAAACTGGATGGATGGAACTCCACGTGCCGCCCTCACTGGACTAAGACCGGGCAGATCCATAGGGTTATGCGTCAACGGGACAGCTTTGAAGAATTGAAGGTCAGCACCGCAAAAGGGGCGTTCTTCTCCAATGACCTGAAGATGTACAGCGCAGGGTCCAGCCATCGGTTTGCACTCTGACTGCGCAATAGACTTCGGCATCATCACAACATGGCAGGATTGTGGAAGGCTTCTTGACAGCGGAACGCATGTCCCAGTTCTACAGCAACTTCTATCCCCTGTTGCAGCCCGACGAGGTTGGAAAGTCACCAAGTTGTTCTTGGAAGCTTATCAGCTGCATTGACTTCAGGATTCCACGCTAGCAATGATGAACATTAGGACTTCGGTGCTTCTGTGGCTGCGTGGGGGCGGCTTGTTGAAAAGATGTGAGCAGCCCTCCAGCAGGAATTCTTTCAATCAGCAGATCCAGCACATCATGAGAATGTCTCACTTGTCTGCCGGCACTAGCGAGGCCCACTTTTTTGTTATCTCCAAGTAAGAATCGAGATTCCGCTGATTCCCAAGTTTCAGGGCGAGCCTGCTGATCCATACTGGAAGCACATCCGGTACCTCTTCCTGCAGATGTGGGGCTTGAAGGCGAGCCAAGCAGTCTGTAGACTAGTCTCTTCCTGTGAGAACAGTTAGCCTTGGCCTAGCTTTCTGTGTCATGGCTGCATATCTGCACGTGAGGACGCTTACAACCTTGTGGCTCAAGCGAAGGACCGAAACCCATCTTCTAACACGCCAGAACACATGTCTTGCTGAAGCTGTGTAGCAGGAGGTGCGGACCATTGACATGGTGGATCTTCTTTTCATCAATTCCCATGCAGAGCTGCCCGAGCTCATAGAGGCCGGTGAAGCAAGACTGCTTCCGCTTTTAGCACAGCTTCTAATGAATGTCTACGCAGGCATTTCGGCCGCAGGCAGTGGCAGACAGTCCGCTACACAATTCCCGTGTTCTGCACACATAGATGGAGTCGCCGCAGACCTGCCCAGGAATGGGAGCTCCAAATCTAAGCGCTGCCAATGCCTCAGATCCATATTTGCTTGACTTGCTGTTGGACAGTGGCCTCCACATTTTCTGGATCACACGTGTTGTTGACAGGCATCGGCCCAGCAGGACCTCACCACTCCAGGCTGTGCTTGGAGATCGTTTTTGGTCAAGCCCCGCGCGCCCAACTGGGAAATAAAGGCTGTTTCTTTGACCTGGCCAGGCTCCTTCCTGTCAGCACACGTCACTGAGGACGTTTGAATGTGTTGCAGTGGGTTCCACATCAACCACAATTTGTCAGCGCGGAGGAAGATGCTTCCAGGCTTGATGCTGTGTCGTGCTTAGATTGACATTTGCTTGACTCATGTTAGCTCACTCCTGCGGGATCCCATGCCAACCGATGCACCCAGGATTGGAAGCTCCGACTAGCAAAGCATGGCCACTGCACCGCTCTAGACCCCTTCTCAGTACAGTTGTGCCGAGCGGGAGGGCGAGGGCTTGGCGTGCTGATTTAAGGGCATCGTGGATTCTTCCAGCAGTTTCTCTGCTCTTTGAGGTGCGGCTTGCACCGGCAAACGCTGACCTTTTTGTTGGGCACACCACATGGTTTGGTGCCCAGATCGGCGCATGACATCAACTGCTGTTGTGGCGACGGTCGCGACCCTTGTGAGGAGCGACTACAGCAAAATGACTCGAGTGTACAAGAACCGTGGCAGCACAAAGTTCCGTGTCCACAGGGTCTGCGTGGCGTGACCTGCCAAACATTGGATACAGGTACTACCGCTTGGATTTGCCATTGTCTTTTCAATCGCACGAGCTGATGGGTTTCAGTCTTTGGCCTTAGTCGTGATCATCCCAAATCAGGAAGCAGATGAACGGACCTCTTGCTCGCAGGTTCATATCCAGGCTGCGTCAGCAGCACTGACGATTTCTACATGATGGACTCCACTAGCTGTCTGCGGTTGATGTGCAGCAGGGTTTAACGCAGCATGCAAACGGTCTGCACAGCTAGGACCATGGCCTTGCAGTCATGGACACCACCTTGGAGGCCACTTGGGCGCGGCAGGCTTTACGTGTTCAAAGCTGTCGCAACTAAGCCAGCGGACCAGGTACTGAATCCGAAGTTGTACAGCCGCGCCATGGATGACCCCAACAAGCCTAGGCTGGGGCAACTTTCAGTGCTTCGGTTGCTTCGGTTGCTTCGGTTGCTTCGCTTGCTTTGCTTGCTTCGCTGCCCTGCCCAAGGTTGCCGAAGTTCTTACATGTGATGGCTGTGAATCGTGTCGCCAAAACAGGCGGCATTCTAGCAATCCTGGATGTTTCAGCTCAATCTTATGAGTAATGCTGAGTTGCTGGTCAGGCATGCAGTGGACTTCGATGTTGGCCGATGAAAACACAGGTACTGGAAACTCTGCGTGGCTTGTGGTGGATTACAACAGGCGAACGCATTTCATTGCATCCAAGTGGCACGCAGTACGGTGACGGAGCCAGGTTTACGCCTGGACAGCCTTTGCCACCGAACACTCTCCGCCTTCTTGAGCAAGTGCCGGGCATGACGCATCAGGCCCAAGATTTTGCTCAACAGGTAGCGCGGACAAGAAGCCATTTTTTTGTTTGGAGGCGGACATTACCACAGAGCTCACTTCGCGGGGGTATTGGGGTTCTTTCAATCGCCCCTTCTTCGAGGTCCGAACTGACATCTGCAAGGTGATCCTTGGCCCAATGCATTGTCCGATGCCTAGGACATCAGGCAGATGTCTGGCCACAAAGCTGCAGAGGACTTCTGAGACTGGGACGTTGCGCTCTTCAGGTAGCCCAACATTTTTTTGCGAGGACTCTTATGGGAAGCTGTTTTCCTTCGAAGAATCACCCAGGGCCGCGCTCCTCCGGCGATTCGGAGGGGGAGTGAGCAACCTGAATGCACAGAGCCGTGCATGTCAAGCTGACGGTGAAGGAGGTCTTTGATTTCTGACAGTGGATGTAGATACTTCTGATTTGCAGTTGTTAGGAAATGCAGGCAGTTGTTGAGAAGGCTTGTTGTACAGGGTAGCCATTTGTTCAGATATCAGGTGTGCCCAATGCCAGGAAGATCAGACTTACAGCTTCTCAGAAATGCAGGGTGCACGAAAGAAGGCAGAAGGCAACGGTGAGTGGAGGGAGCTTTGCGCTTCAAAAAACACACCGAATGATCTGGCCCAAAGGGATCCAAAAAAGCAACATGACACCAAAGTGCAAATTCTTGTAGATGGTTGGAATGCCGTGCGGACAGTGCAACTGCTGCGCTACAAGCGTGGCGTGCTCCCCAATTTTCCCTGACTTGGATTCTCAACTTTTGACGGGGGCATTGTTTTGGACACTATCTCGCAGGTGTGTTGCCTTCAACATGCGCTGCCTGTAGCTGCTGCCCTTCCGGCTTTTATGAAGCAGAGCTGAAGCTACAGTTCTTTGAAACCTTGGAAGTGTTACAGGTGCCTCTCGTGTGCCTGTGTTGAGCTGGACCTGTATTGAACTCGTCCAAGCATGTACGATTGCCTGCCTTCTGTCAAGGCAAGCTGGGCGACATGAGGACGGCCATGACCCGGAACGATCCCAAGGAACCGCGAGCAGAGAGCGCTTTGGAGAGAAATAGGCAATCAGAAAGCTGTCTCAAATGTCCCGCAGGCATCTTTTGAGCGCTGCCTTTCCGGATGCATGAGTAAGCCGCCAAGCAACACAGTGCCACAACAGATCATGGGACAAATGCAAAAAGCGGCCGCAAACATTGTCGAGACCAAGCAGGCCCACCACAAGCAATCTGAATGCATGGACGGATAAATAGACAATTTTTTCACAGCAACAAAAACAGGAGGACAACTCTGTGTTCTTTTTTCCATTTGTTATGTGTTGCTTAGTCAGTCATTTACGCGAGACATCCTAAGTGTGTTGCACAGCAGACTCCTCTTGCAGATGATCATTGCTGCTGTTCGCAGGACGCAGTTCCAGGGTTTCCCGCTGGACCTGGGCATGCGATCATGGCCCGCATGGACTTGGATGCGCACCTCCGTCTGCGTTTCATGGGCGCCAAACTTTGCCTTGTGGTCTGGCCAACAGGTCGTTTCAGACCAGGTGGAATTTTGTTGGGAGGCGACTGGTGCTACTGATTGTGCAGCCCATTTTTTGCTGAACATCCGCACTGTGCACCCTTTGGAAGCAGCTGAGGATGGTGAACAACATTCCCAATGGAGGAATTGATGCTAAGGCACGTGTATTCATTCGTTTTGGTTCCATGCGACCTGCCGTTTGTGGTAAGGTCTCAAGCGCATGCTTGATGAAGCGGATGGCTTGCCAGGCATTGTGTGGAAAGGCAGAGCAGGAAGCACTGCCTTCTGACCTGTGATTTGTTCAGGCCATAAGTGGACCATCGCATGGAGGTTACCCGGCCTTCAGGTGGACAAGCGAGGCCTTTGGCCACAGCAGTACTGTGATGCTGTGAAAATCGTGCTCTAGATTAGTGACCTTGCGTGTGAGGATTCCATCAATCAAGTGGGCTTTCAATCTGACAGGCGACTGACACAACTGCATCGGCAGAGCTGTTTCAGGTTGGCTTGCATGCATGCTAGCGCCTAGCGTCACGGGACCTTGGCCAATACGTGTTGCCTTCCTGAGGGCTGGCCACACTTGGGCTTGCCGGATGTCTGGAACTTTGATTTCGTTGAGATGAACTCTCAAGAGGATGTCTTTGCGCGCCAAGTAGCAGCTCAAAGCACTTGACTACCCTTCTGCTTTTGGGAGGACAAGCAGGCCAGCAACCAGCTCAGTGAGAGCTGCTAACGCGACTTATCACCTCGAGCAGAGGTGGCATAATTATTGTGCAATGCAAAAGTTGCTGAGTGCTGCAGCGGCATGACAGCCTTTCTTAGAGTAGTCAAAGCTGACAACTCAAACGCGGCTTAGTTGTTGTTTATGAACATTTTCCAGAAGTGTCTTGTAGACCGCATGATGACGTGTCACACATTTGGATGAGAGCTGGACAGAGCCAGGGGTTGTCGAATCTAGAAGTCTTGCCCTGCAAGGGTTGAGGACCATGAATGTTGCCGCGGCGCGTGGTTCAGACCTTTGGGTGCATGGCCTTGCAAGGAGAGTTGACGAGCAACAGCTAGATCAGCCAGTGCAGCAGAGCTTCGCAACAACGGTTTTTGTGCTTTTTTGGTGCACATGCTAGTGGGCCTGGGCTCAACATCACTTTTTCTGACACCTTGCGATCGGGCAGAGCAGAGCAAGGCTTAATTCAAGAGGCTGACGGAGCCTTTGGGCCTGTTCGAAGGGGAATGGCCTCAGTAAGAATCCCGGGCGATGTCATGACAATTCAATACTGATACTGTGATGTATGCCCATCCCAGGTCCTCGGGTTCGATCCCGGATGTGATCGCTTGCTTATCCAGCTTCAGCAGATTGCTTTCACAGAGCTGAGAGGCATGATTTGTGTCCTGCAGTGCAACTGGGCAAGGGGCGTTGTGTTGCCTGGCAAGGATGGAATCTGTTTCCATTCGGCTCCTATGTTTCAGGACAGGGAGACATCATGTTCTCAAACTTGCAATGCCGCGAATGCAAAATCTTCTATCCGAAGATACGGGCATCCCACCTGCAACACTGGATTTGGCACTGGTCTCTCCGGAGCTGGAGCCTCAGCAACCGGAAGCCAGAAGACAGGGTCTCAGAAGTCTCAGCTTGAGGCGGCCTCCAGGCCTCGAGCATGCTTCCACGGACATAGCACCTGGGATGCAAAGCAATGCAAAGGAGCTCTCAACACGGCCCTCGTTGCAAACTTAAGGGTTGTTGCATGTTGTTGAGGGCTCAAGTTATGAGGTCAACAGCTTTGTGACGCTGCTACGACGTCGAACAGGTGGATCCGATCTGAGTTTCACTCAGGATGCCACATCTCCGGGTTTCAGGCAAGGATAGCTTCTTGAACGCCACTGAAGACAAAGTGCTTTTGCCTGTCAAGGCTGCTTGCCCTGAACTTTGCTGGTCCTTATCGAGGAAGACAGGCCAAGGGCTTGTCCGCGTGCAGCGGACATTTGCTTTTCTCATTTCCGTGAGGAGATTGCAATCTACGAGGGAGACGCGCAAACGGGCGCCATAGATCTCATGCTAAGGACGCTGGCAGCTCCGGCGTGGTTACCATTTTCTTGGTTTGTGTGGCAGGAAGGCATTTTCGATGAGCCCTCATGCTCGACCACTGGTCCGTCGTGTCAAGTCTAGCGCCAAGCTGTTATATTCGTTGGCAAGCTTGTTCAAGCTGTTGCCTGAGGGTCGCAGGGGCTGACGTTCATATCCAAACTGGCAAGGAATTAGTTGCCACGGGATGGGAACGTCCCCCAGAATCACTAGGATAACTAGCAACTAGGATACAACTTGCCAAGAGGCCATGGCGCTGTCAGGAGATGCATCAATCAATGCCCATCCACTCCAAGGCTTTGGGTCCGCAGTCGCCTCCTGCATTTCCAAAGCGCAGGCTGGCTTGTTTCAGGAAAGCACATGTCAAAGATCGATTGCAAGGTTTGGGAACCCGTGTTGTGGTGAGCAGACTGTGTGCAATCGTGCAGGGCTCCACAACTGGACTTTGCTTGTCCTCTTCTTTCTGCAGCAGAAGCAGGTGTTGCAGCTTGCCTGAGCAATCAGAGCGGTTTGTGCTGTTCTGTTCGAAGGGTTTTGGGCGGCTTGACGGACAAGGAACGGTGGATCGTAGCAGCAGAGGCCTTGATGAATCCTTGAGATACTTGACATGAAGCTGCAAGTGCTCAAACAGGTTTGCTGGTTACGCTGGGCCACGTCATGCTTAGAAGCTGTGTGGGGTCTGATATGAAGCGTTGCTCAGAATTGAGAGGTTGTCCGTAATTTCCCGACATTCCTGCATCAAGATGATGAGAGCACGCCGTTTCAGTCCGAGCCATGGCGCTCCAAAGATGGTGTCCTATTCTTGCGCGCTGTTTTCTGTTATGGTTCTGTCGCACACTTATATACGAGTTTGGTGCAACTCATGCACCGGTGGCAGTGTGCCAGGACTCCTTGAGGGGACATGCTTGAGCAAAAAAGCGGTGCGTTTCTGCTGCTTGGCGCGAAGAGCAGAAGCAGAGGCAAACCGACCGAGGCGAGCTCAGCTGGCCTCTTGGAGCACCAACGCTCTGGGCTTGATGGGCTGGGCTGGATGGCTCGGCCACGATGTAAACCAAGCAAGCGAAGCAAGCAAAGCAAGCGAAGAAGCGAGTGGAGAGGCTGTGGTCCGCCTTGGTCTAGGAGCCGAACGTATAGAGGATGTCACCCGATGGGAGCTTTCTTTTTTCAGAAGCACGCTGGATGCCGTCGTAAAACGAGCTGCGCAGTCTGAGCGTGTGCTGTATCATTACACTGATCTCGCCAGTGCAGCAGCCATTGTGAACGGAAGAAAGGGCCTGAGGCTGTCGCGTGGAGGTTTCAAGGGCGGGGGCGTCTTTTTCTCCAAGTTGAGCCCTCTAGATGGCCTGGAGCTGGAGCAAGGTAGGCCTAGTCGGCTTTGGCGGGAGGTGTTCCCGGCATTTCGAAGTGCGCAGCTCCAAAGGAATTATGGGTCAGACGTGGTTGGAAGAGAGAACAAAGCCGATGCCGTTCTTGTTTGTGTTGCTCCCGAGACCATGTTGGAAGACATCCCAGACAGAAGGAGCTCTTGTTTCATATCCCTGGAGAGATTTCAGACATTTGCTGCTGAATACTTTGCCTTCCGCAACATTCCTAGAGCTTACCGTTTGGCACCTTGACCCCAAAAAGCAATTGGCATGCCTAGCAGCTCTTCAAAAAGTGTTGGGAAGAGGAACTTGATGAGCTTGTTTGCTTTCTAGCTGCAATTTCTCTTGCACAGATCTGCTTCTGCCGCAGCTGCCGTCCAAGGCCTTCGTTGGAGCACTTACGAGGCATGCGGCATGCGCCAGCATGAAAGGCAGGTTCTTTGGATGGCCGACTTGTGGTGACCCTGGCAGATGCGGTTCCGCCAGATGACCTTCAAGCTACGAGTGAAAGGCAAGATCGGCTTGATTTGGTTCGATTGTTGAAGCGCCGGCTTCCGACCTCTGGCGACAGGGAGATTCAACTGCTTCTTGGGGAATTCGCTCACTTCAGTGCAGCTTTGCTTTCGAGGCACGCCTTTGCCGGCAAGAACGTAAGAAGCAAGACACAGTCCCAGAACATAAGAGAGGAGGAGGCGGAGGAGGAACAGTTTTAAATTGATTCAGCGCTATGACGGACAATAACTTTCCAAGGTGTCAACATGGGGGTGTCTTCATGGGGCTCCTCGCCATTCCACCACTAGTGGTACGCGTGCATTTATGGTGATAATGATGCTACACGACTACCCACAGTTTCTTGATGCCGAAAGCCTTCAGATCGGGGTTGCCTGAAGCGAGGGGCCATCCTCGGAGCACTGTTGGTCTTTGGACCGGGGACCTTTTCGCTTCGGAGGCAGGTCTCTCGACGGATGTTTGAGAGCATGGAAGGGATCCTTATCAGATGCAAGGTCCATCCGCCACCAACGCAATGGCGGATTGCCGATGAAATTGTCATCGTGCAGGCCCGCTGCAAACCACCGAGCTCGCAATAACAAACCTTTATGAGCAGGAGTTGATGCAACTGTATCGTGCAGCGTCTGGTGATGAGCGGCTTGGGCCTCTACTGCACACTAACATACACTGATAAATTCAAATGATGGAGCATCACACTACCTTCAGGATGCGGAATGTTCACTGCACTTGTCCAGTAAGAAGGTGCTGGTGACTCATCTCCGGTATGTTAGGTTGCGTCGTTCTTTGAGGCCCCCGCAAGGCCTCGGCTTCCCACGAACACTCAGACGTTTACGTGCAACTTGACGCTTGCAGGAGGGCGGGTGGCCGAGTCCAAGTCAACACCCCCACCAGTGTCCCGCGTGGCGCACAGATTGCTGGCGCATGCTAAGAGGCTAATTAGGTGTGAAGCGGGTCATGCTGACTTTGAACTAGGACCCGCTCGTCAGCTGGCCTCCGCCACGCTTCATATCCCCAAATTGGCAGGCACATTTTTAAGTTTTGTTTCAGAAGCGTTTGCCACACAAAGTTTCAGCTTCACCGCAGGTTCGAAGAACACCAAAGCGGCAGGAAGTGCAGAAGCTGCAGAAGCATTGCAAGAAGATGGCTACATGTCGGATTGCTTTCAGGTACCAATCTCAAGCTATCTCAAGCTTTTAGCCGGTTTGTGCTTCAAGCTGTCCTGCAACCTGACATCATCTGAAAACACTTGACGCTCTTCTGCAAGGCGCCAATGCGCTTTCTCGAAGACAGCCGCCACGCGAATGGGAGGCACTTGGACTTAGTCCCGTGATGCTCCTCTTTCTCATGCGCGGTTCTTGCCTGATGAGGTGGATTGTTGATGCGAGCTGGATGGCTTTCAAACGCCAGGGGGACGATGTCGTATGTACAGCCTGGTCCCTGCAAAGGCATAAGTGCGTGGAATTGTGTGATTTGACAGTTGTTGAGGTGCAATTGAGTCCGGAATTTCCTGGCAGACTTACTCGTGAAGGAGTGTGTGTTGTTATCCGTAAGGGCATAGCCTGCTATAGTCACTGTTGCTTAGGCAGGTTGTGTGCTTAAGAGTTTGCTTCGCAGCAGAGGATGGGCCAGAAGATTCAATCGTCGCGAGCATCAGATCCGAATTGGCAAGGCGGATGTGCTCGGCTTGCACGCTGTAGCACTGCAGTAGATGTAGTGGAGACTAGTGGAGAGCTGCTTGAGGAGACGCGGGAGTACCGGCGGTGGTCAGCATACGCAGCTGAGCATGGACGGTCAGAGGCAGTTCATGTTGAATTTGCTTTGAGCCCCGTGGACGTAGACGCTGAATGTCCGCTGGTCTGTCGAGTGTTCGAGCAGGCCCACCCTACAACACCTCGAGCTGGCGAGCAGACAAGCAAGAGGGAGTTCGAGGTGAAGTACGCAAAATGGAGGGTGCAGCTGCGACTTGACAGCAGTGGCGCCGAAAGCCTCAGTGCATCCGGTCAGCATACCGGACCAAGGCACCAACCCTTGAGATGAGATGCCCAACTTGATGCATTTTATGTTCCATGAATTCGTTTGATTATGTTGGTGAGATTTACGAGCTCGAGCATCGGGCTTTACCTCGCCATTTCGGCTTTCCGTCTGTCACTCTGCATGAGTAGCACGGGGTCGTGCGCAGAATGTGCACCTTGCTGTTGCAGAAGTGGCCATGGAATCTGAGTTGTGGGATACATCTCGGATCTTTGAAACTTGTGAAGATGACAGCATCATCCTTGCTTACCAGGGTGCGAGGTACTTGATTTTGATGCCTTTGATGCTGTCAGTCACAGCGGTGTTTGCCACATGGGTTGGTTCCGAACATCAGACGCCAGCGGGGAGGAAAAGTGTACATGTGCTCTGAAGACTGATGACAAGATGTGGCAAAGGTGGCAGTCTGATGCCAAGATGAAGGCCATGTGTTGATGCAGTCCCCTGCTCGGTTTACAGGACATGATTCTAGAGAGCTTCTGTGTAGGATGCATGATGGGTTCTTTTGCCAGAACCCTTTCAGGTTGATGAAGCTGTGTTTTGTGATTTTGTGGGCTGTCGTGATGTCTAGAACAGGAGTCGGAGCCTGCATACTTGCTTCTGAGCCAGCAGAGTCTCCAACTGAATAACACACTGTTGCGGTAAAATTGTGGCCGCGCGCTGCAATGGAAAGACTGGCAAAGCACCAGAATGCGCTGGGACAGCCTGGCCCCGAGTGTAGTCTTCAGCAGTGCTGTAAACCATGTCTAAGTGGGTTTCCGATGGAGTCGTAGAGTCGCGTAAAATGCATGTAGTCATGGTGTCCAACAAACATGTACGAGTGCATCTGCTGTCTCGCAGCATGCACATAGATTAATTCCAACCTGATGCTGACCTTTTGATAATGCAGCAGTGCTGTCTTGCGTCTGCGTGAGTCGCTTGGAACTCGGGTCAGGGAAAGCTGCACACATACATGAAGACCACTCCATGCCTGAAGACTCAAGAGCCTTTGGGGAGAATCCCACACATGCAAACACTGACCCGCTTGCTTTACGTCATCAAAACTGGAATCTATGAGGTACTCGTCCCTGGGTAGTGAAGTTTTCTTCACAGAGTTTGGCGCGGATTGGACATCATACAGGCCGGACATAGCCAGACAGACCGTAGTCGAGAGGTTTACTTGGTGTGTGTGTGTGTGCGCGTGTGAAGCATGGCTCTGGCAGGTCCGCACGTAACCGTCGGCGCGTCGACTTTAGTGGCCCGCAATGGCCACTTGCCTTCACTTCCTCGACAGTGCTACCAAATCACCATGCTCGAGACAACTGCTAAGCCGCAGCGGTGCTGAGGAGTTTGGAGACACTGGAAGGAGAGCCAGAAAATGGCCTCATGCACAAGCAGTTCATTCGAGAGCACATCGCTTCTTGGAGGGACAGACGAGGCGCTAGTGTGAAGCATCATAGACGAAGCCATCTCAGGAAGTTCTAAACTTGGCAAAGAACAAGTTGACCGACATCGAGTGCCTGAATGCAATGAAGGATGCTTGCCAAGCATAAAGTTAAAGCTTCCTTGCCAGGTTTTAGAGGGCTGAGCAGGATGCTGGCTTGAGCAGTCTGCTGGCTGAGGACACAAGGACCTTCGAATTCCGTCGACTGCAGATTCTTAATGCGTCGCGCAATATGCTGACGTTTGTCAAGCTGGTAAATCACAGCTTGACAGAAATTAATTTGAGTCATAATGAGCTCATCAAGCTCCCAGACTTCTCAGCATTGACTCAGCTCAGCAAGTTGCTCGTGTCTCACAACGACATTGACGATATGCTGCTTGCAAGCAGGGCCTCTGTCTTCAAGCTTTCGGATAATCAATTTCCGTCGCTGGTAAGGTTAGATCAATTTGGACAGCTGCAGAAGCTGCGCGTCCTGGACCTATCGTCAAATCGATTTTCCTGGCGACCGACCCTTTTCAAGAAGCAGCTCAGCCACCTGGAAAGGATCCACCTCGAGGAGTTGAGGCGAGAACATATCCACTGACAAAAAGCCACAAACAGGAATGCCTGCCTAGCCCTGACAGGTTTTGGCCAAATCCTTTTGCTGAGGGCTTTAAGGAGTACCAGTTCATCACTGCAACCACCCTGACCTCTCTTACCTCCTTGGATGGCTTTCAGATCGACTCGGACCTGAGGCCTGAAACCACGAGGGGTCCTGTCAGTGATGCTCCTGCCTCATTTCTAGGTTTCAATTGCGGGTTCAAGCAGACCAGCTGCATCTGAACATTGCGGACTTTTCCATCTTTGACGTTCGAGTCGAGGACTGCATAGGAGAATTGTGGATCTCGGGAACATCCCTGCACTTTCTTTGGAGATGCTCTCCTCATGAGTTTTAGCAGTCTACGCACCTGGATAGGAAAGACGAAAGAGGAATGCCCCCGCAGAGGCACTCCCAGGCCAGGCACCTCAGCCCAAGCCAAGCACGGCCAAGCACGGCCAATGGCAAAGCCAAATCAGACTCGGAACCCTTCTGTGAAAATGTCTGCGAGGTAGAGAGCAAGAAGTCATCGGAGTTGTCCAGACCTCAAGACCTCAGTCCAGCGGTCCAGCTTGACACATCTTAAACTCGAGCTTGGTGAAGCCCGCATGGTATCCATGGTATCTCGGTGGATCTTTAGGTTCCGCTGCTGACCGAGCTCATAGAAGCAATGCGGAAAGCTTTGGACCAGCCAAATGACCTTCTCAAGCATGTGTACGACTTGGAGCAGAAGGCAGATGCCCTTCACATATGATGCCTGGACATTGGCACACGACAGACATCGCACAGGTTTCATGCCTGTGGAATGCCCACTTCTGGGACAGACGCCGGCTCATGCTGGCAGAGGACGGTGCCGCTCAGCATCATGCCTGCCGTGTCATAATTGTGCCTAGAGGACGGTGATGGCAAGCAGGGGGGCTACATGAAACCTGCCGAAGCTGACCGTGCAGCTGCAGAATTCACCGACAAGATGCAGCAGGCAGCGGCGCCTTTCTTCCCTGCTTCTTGCTCCTTGCTCCTTGCACTGGGCAAGGTACTGGGGCGCTTTGAGAGCGTCCAGGACGTCCTGGTCATGTGTTTGGTGAGGATGTTGGGCTGCGGCAATAGGCCCGGGAATGGAAGGTCAAGAATTGGAGAGCATCTTCACACTGACAGGCAGCTATCAGAGCGCTGTGGGACCCTCCTGGCAGATTGGGTCGACGCCAACGCCGAGGAGCTCCATGATCGGATGGACAGCATGTCCGAGGCTCTTTTTCGAGATCTCCGCCATGCGCTGGTCTTGGGCATCAAAAGCATCAACGAGAAGCCCATGGCATGCTACGAAGCCTCGCACGGAGCAAGAGAGAGCCTCAACTGAACTAGATACTTGTAGCTTCTCCTAGACGTGGTGAGAATCGGCCAGTTTGGATATCTGGGAGTCCAGAGGCGGGATGAAGATGATTCTGAGCTGGAGCAGATAGAAGCCAGCTGGCACATCTTGGCAGCCCTCCGAAAGTTTGGTCCAAGCCCCTTGGCTGTAATTAGAGTCTTTCCTTTCGTATGCTTGTGAGTGAGATGCGAAGATCAAGACATTTGACATGATATGGATTTCGATTGGAAAAGAGCTCATTTGGAAGGCTGGCTTTTAAAGCCCCTCAGTGTGCCTGGTCATTTGAGACCCCGTGGCCAGGCAAATTGCAAGTGAGGTCTGGAATGGAAGCCACTGTCAAAAACTCCTTTCCCCCGAACATTAAAGGGTCCCTCCCATGTATTGTAAGACCCGATTTTTTTTTGGGTCTGGGGTACACAGTGGGATCATGGTGAAATTCAATTGATATCTACTTCAACATAATACCAATCGGTTAAATGGAACAAAAAACCGATCAATTCAATCTAATAACATCGCAATGACATCAGTTTGGATCCAACCGTTGAAATCTACTTTAATTCAAAATAGAGCCAATGTAAAATCATAATCAAATAAACGAAAATTCAGTTGAAATCTAATTAAGATCTTATTTCAATCTGATTCAGAACAATGTAAAATCGCAATGACACGAATCAACATCGCATTAAATTCGTATGCAAGTTCTTGTATTTGTGAAAAGCCAATCAAAAAGAATCAAAATCTGGGGAACCTAATCCTTCAGAGTCATGTTAGGGACCCCCAATTCAGAGGATCCGAGCCCTAGTTGACGATAGTCAGGGCCCTTTTAGAAGTAGTCTCGGGGACAGATTTCGGATTTTGGAATTTTGGGGAACCTATATGTCATCATATTGTAGGCCTAGCGGCAGGGGCCGGCCCTGCCGCCTTCGTACTTTGATAGCTTTTCTTGGGATTTTGACCGTCCTGGTCCCAATTACGCCAAAATCGGGTCCCAATTGTGCTGATGATGCTTCTGTACGAGGTGCGCGCGCGAGCGCGTGCCTCGTACAGGAACATCAGCTGCACAATTGGGAACCCATTTTGGCTTGATTGGGACCAGGAGGGGTCGAAAACCCAAGGAAAGCCATCAATGATGACTTTAGACATGGTTCTCTGTGCAGGCTGACCATGTTCTAGCCGACAGTTGCATTTTTTGTTGCAAGTCAGCTGCCAGTAGCCAACACGCGCCCAACAGCACATTTTATAGGGTTTGGTCTGGGCAATGCACGCCAAACCTGTCTCATGCTTGCGCAGTGGGCACAGGCAGCCTAGAAACCTGGCAAAAGGGGAGAAACAGGACCCCAATGATGCTGATGATGCTGGCCAAGGGGGCCAGCATCATCAGCATCATTGAGGGTCCGTTTCTCCATTTTTGGCCTCCCATGCGATAACCCCTCATTTGCTAGTCGTTTCTCAGCCGTACCCCAAGAAGGGCCTGGGGGCTAGTTTTCAAAACGGCCGGTGCTCATGATGCAGATTTTGAGGATTTTTGGGGATTCCCAAAATGCTTCAAAAATCTTTTTGTGCCGTGGGGATTCGCTTTTGGAGCGCATATGAAATTTGGAGTGGTCTTGGAAGGGGGGAGAAACGGAGGTTCGATGATGCACGGGCAGGGGGGTCGGCGGCAGTAGCCACCCCTGTAGAGCTAAATCCGGCCCTGCCGCCATGGTCCAGGGCAGAGCCCGTCCTTCCTAGAGGTTTACCTTAGACGGGGTGGCGCCAGGAGCGCCGACCTTTTTTCCGGTGCATCATCGGACCTCCGTTTCTCCCCGGGCCCCTCCCGGACCCCAT